GCTCTTGCCACCGTCATCCTTCAGAGTCCTCGAGCGAGGTGGTAGCCCCATTTCTGGCTGCAGCCAATACACTACATGGAGCCATCTGTGAACCACAGTTGAGTCCATTGTTTCCCCATCAGCCGATTGAAAAGATGCTCTCAAGAAGCCATGGTGTGCATAGAGGGATAGGTATCGGTATTTTGGAATCAGATAATGTAGGATTCATTTGTGTCTGGTGCCTGAAGTATAGTTTCCACTACACTATGTATTACTTCATTTTTTTGTCCTTTTTTTTTTTTGACATGGTAAATCTCAAGAGCACACAGATCATGGTTAATTATTTCAGCTTCAAAAGTCACCTAGTGTCCCAAGGAAGTACATTCAGTATCTCTGAGTTCCCCATGGCATGCCGAGTTATTTCAAGTAGAAAAGATTGGTTTTGCTTTTTCTGTATGTTTGTTTGCTTTCTTCCTCCAGTAGAAGACTTGATCTTATTCCAGAGTTCTAGAGCCTGCCTTCTCACCTCTCCATGTGGTTTATCATAGATGCCATACAGTATCTTTCCCCATTATGAAAAAAAATCCAGCTCCTTTGGATGTGTTCAGTGTTAGGTTTGGCGGTACAGCTTGAGCTAGAGAATCTATTTTTGATCTCATCGAATTGATCACTAATTGATTCTTTCATCTGGGCACTAATCACAGATTTCCAAGCTATCACATAAATGGATCAAATCACTATGCCTAAGTGAAGTATACACTCTCAAAATTGTCCCCCCAAGCACTACGTCTTAATTACAAGTAAGAAGTAGAGGGCCAGGGATTTAGCTCAGTGGTGCTACTGCCTGTCTTGCAAGCGCAAGGTCCTGAGTTTGATTCCCGGTACCAAAAACAAACAAGTAAGAAGTAGAAAATATAATTTGGGGACTTGGGGGAATGGAGCTAGTTTCCTAAATATTATTGGGTTTACCTTCCACCCTTTGGCATATGTTTTGTTAAAATGTCTACTCATAAAATCCAGTCAGCGTAATGCCATTGATTCTGTGGGCCAGCCAAATATTAAAGTAACAAATGTTCCGATGACACTAGGTCCCCAATTACCTTAAAAAGAGCTGGGGAGTAGGCCTCATCCTAATTTGGATACACCTGGCATAGCCATTATATTTCCAGCCTTTGACCTTTTCCTCGATGCTAGAAGACATTCGGTATTTCCATCCCATCTACCGTAGGATGTCTCAGGCAGTCATTAAACTGGCTCTGGGTTGACCTTATAAGAATACTGGATTCCATCTGGGTCATAGGTGAGTGCTCAACTTCATGGTTTTTCCTATACAAAGTCTCACATCCTGTCCTGAGTGGTATAACAACCTCACCCACTCCCTTAGTGTTTACCAGTGCACACTAGCCACACCCTAAAGTTGCTCTGGGTGTGCGGGCTGCTCTTCGAAGGTTCAGTTTGCATTTCTTTACTCAGGCTAGGATGAGACCCGTATCTGGTTGTTGAGAAAGGGACAACGGGTCAAAGCAAGACACATCCTGAGAAGAACATCAGGCAAGGTAAAGCTAGTCTATGGTGTTCTGGCAAGAGGAGTCTTTCTGCCTGGAGAACAGTGTTTTCTCTCAACTAGGAGATTTAAGGAAATTCAACCTTGAGATTCCTGACTTGTACATTCAATGATCTATCTGTGGTTTCAGGAACCCTTTCCTTACCAGCACATTGGCTGTCAAAGATGCACATTTACTTACTTATTTTGTTTCAGCCCTGTCAGATCCTGGGCCTGATTTTCCATGGGTCTTCTGCTAGTTGGTGAAGATGACACCATCTTTGAACATTTTCTTAGAGGCCCTTGAGCTTATGAATCACTTCCCCAAGTGTACCATTTTCCTTTCTGAGGATGCCACATGCAGTTACCTAGACTTTATCTTTCTTAGTATCACGTTGCTCTGATCATAAGCAGTAGTCATATTATCTCCCACTGCCGCAACTTAGGCCTGCTACTCACCCAAGTTAACCATAAACAAAAGCTTTCACCATCAGTGACTGTGAGGCCACCAAGTGTCTGGATGTGTCCCCTACAACTTGCTAAGAGCAGAAGTGTGCCTATTGCATTTATACAGGGGTCAATATGATTCCAGATGCCCATCCAGATAAGCTGTTTTCTAGAAGATCTTTGGTACCAGTTATCTTCTCAGGGTTTCAAAAGGTAACAGAGTCTAAGGCATAGCTCATATGGCAATATTTTATTGTGGTATAAAATACCAGGGTAGCAGGGACAGTAGAGGCAGGGAGGAAGGGAGAGCAAATACAAGATGATTACAGAGCCGACTTCCATTTGAGGAAACACGCTGATGGTTTGTGTGAAGTGAGACATCTCTGGGCAGCCCATGCACAAGTATCGTTCTTCAGAAGACTTCGGTAACGGAGAAGGGAGAGGAGCTCAGCTGTTCTTTGTCTCCTTCCCTGATCCGAGTTGGAGCTCTGGAGATTATCTAGCTGTAACTTGGGAGTTGCGTCACCTGGCCCTTCTGGTCCACTGTTGGAAAAGCCAGGCCCTGTAGTCCATGCCACGTATTTCATTGGAATCCAGGAAAGGTGGCTTGCACCTCATCTTTCAAGTGTTTGGTGGAGCTGGATCTGGGTGGCCCATTCCCACTGACAGGAGGGGGAAGGGACAATGGTAACGCTAGCCAGGATGCTCCACTGGGTCAGTGATTGAGAGCCCCGGGGTTGGCAACGCAGTGAAGCGGGGAACAACTCACCTACTGTGTGCTAACACTCTGCTTAGATCACAGTGTTTACCTGCTTCCTAATTCTATTATCAAACACGCATGGATGTGTTACTAACTTTTATAGAGAAACAGAACAAAAGCAAGGCTCTGGGTTACATATTCAGCAAGCAGACCGAGTATTTAAAGACTGTGCAGATTCGTACTTGGGAAAAGATTGGAAGCGGTCCTACGCTGCTCTCTTGTCAGAATTACAGAGCAGGAGCTTTCTTTTTTATTTATTGTATGAAATATGGTCTAGATCCATCAGCTCTAGAAGAATACTCAACAATATATTTTAAAATGAGCTACAACATATGGGCTGATATCATAAAAAGCTTTTATTGAGATTACTCCCTAGTAAACCTTTGGAGGTCATCTGTTATTTTGATGCAGTACTTTTATCTCACAGATAAAATGTTCAGTCTTCACATGAAACCAGCAAGGTCATGTCCACGTAAACAGTATTTTCTAAACCTCCACTAAGCACTATGTTCTTTCACAAACTTAAAACAGTCACAGCACAAACCCTGGGACAAAGGGGAAGTAACTCTTGAGAACTGGAAGTTGTACAAGCTTGGATAGAGAACAGAAAAACATTTTTTAAAAATAGTTTTGTGTGTGTGTGTGTGTGTGTGGCAATAGAGACACAAATATAAATTGTTTTGGCCTTGACTGACTCAATTTGAAGATCCAGCAGTCATCAGATTTCATTTTATTTTATTATACAGTCAGTTGTTAGATTTCTGTTCTCAAAGGTCTTTGAGCATAAACAAATATAACGATCATATGTGTTCAGGCATAAAATCTTTTATCTATTTGTTTTTGATGTACTTGAGAAAATGAACAGTGTATCCCATTTTGCTTTTGCAGGCTTTGTTTCTGCTATTAAAAAAAGCTTGCTTATGAACACAAAAGCAAAACTTCTGTATGTAGAACTAGAATGTGAGCAGGGCAAAAGAAGGTAATTAAAGTGAAATAAGATACTTGAGATTGCCTGAGACTGAGGAAGGGAAACATTGATCAGCATTCCTCCATCTCTATTTCCTTAGTGCCTTTTAAGTCCTTCTCACCTTCTCTGCGTCCTTAGGTAGTACGACCTACGGGGGCAGGAGGAAAGGATCATGTTCTGCCCATCAGATCCCAGGGAGGCGGAGTAACAGCAAAGGATCTCCCCTTCCAGTCCATGCGGGAACACCCGAGACACATAAAGGAAAACAGATCGGTGTGATTGTGGTTAATCATAGCTCCCACAGAAATAAAGAAATCTTTCTTCTAAAGTATTGAGTAATTGTATAAAAACAAGAATGACTGAGATCGAGGTCAAATGTAGTCACGTGAGTATATTTCTTAATGTCTGAACAGTATAATTAGAATGAGTACAAATTCCTTGAGCAGAAAGCTTCAGAACCAGGAGGTGACTGTAACAGGTCGCACAGGGATTTGAGAGCCGTGTGTGCTAACAACCTAAAATGTGTGTCAGCGCACAGCAAAAACAAAGCAAACCTTGAGAATAACATAACCCTTACAAAACCCTAAAACACCTGTTTAGTAGTTTTCAACACAAAGACACAAACAGTACTATAGAATTTAGTTTTGCTTTATTTAACAATGTGGCCTACAAGGTTTTTCAAGTAAAAAGGGTTTTTATTTAGAATAAAAATTAAAATATAACTCTGATATAGATTTTCATTTATTTACATGAAAACATATATACAGAATACCATCTTACAGCAAACTACTGCATGCCCTCTGTCCCGCAAATTTCAAGACACCAATTTTTCCCTTTTATGCACCAAAACACACACAACATATGAATTAAATTCCAATACAAACTATTCAAATTGGAATGCAACACAGCTAAAGGTCTTCTGATATTCACGACTAGGGAGAGTTTAAACTTCTAGAGATCATGCTAGCTTCCATTCTGACCAAGAAGTGAAATGATTATTTTCTCTGTAACTCAAAAAGCTTTGCCTCCAATTTCCCATCCTGAGGCGGTTTTTCAGTGAATGATTGTCCTAGAACATCCCTTTTTCCTCAGTGTCCCTTCTCCTCTTATGCAACACGGTCCATGTCTCACTGGTGCTGGACGGTGGCCACGGAAGACAAGTCCACTTAGACTTCAGCTCCAGGAACCATTTCAATCACTAGTTGTCACCTAAACTAGAGAGGCTTTTATCCAAAACCCAAGGCAGCGCCGTACATCAGCAATTACAATTTTTAGGTTAATGGGTCAGAAGTGGAGCAGTTTGATTTTTTTCAGATAATGTTTTAGATATCTGTAAATCACTACACTGATAAGAGCTGAGAAGTAATCAACTTAAAAACTGAACCAAGTTAAAGGGAGTAATTTCCATAAAACTTCTGGACAGAAAAACAGAGTTAAGAGAATTATTAAATTGTACTCATTCCCAATATGAATATAGTTTTCCCATATCATTTAATTATTGCACGAAATAGACACAGACAGAATGTATAGCTTTCTGAAGGTTTCTTCCTTAAAAACTACAGATATCTTAATTTACTATTGTTTTTCAAATAATTGCACACTCAATCACAGCTTTCTAAAGACAGAATAGATAGAGTAATTGGAATCTAGAATCACTATTTTACCCCAAAGCAGCAATGATGTCAAACCACAACAAAGACCTTAACACTTCTTTGTTTTGTTTTAGTCCTATGTACAGAAATAAATACACATGGTTCTACAAAACTAGTATGAAAACCCCTAGTGCATCAACACTAAGGGTGGGACAGATCTTCTACAGATGTGTTTGGTACAAGACAGAAGGCAAATTCAGCACTTGCCTCACACAACACCCAAAATTCTATGATAAATTAGGAAACAGACCTATCTTCAAAAGGCTGATCAAAATCAACCTTCTAGTGACTGTGGCAGAGGTCAGAAGTGGCAGTGCTAAGGTTTGAATCATTTAAATTTATTGAGGAACAAATCAAAGTGAACACACAGGAAACGATCTTTTAAATCTGATCAAATAAGACGGAGGAATTGGGGGAGCCGTACAGATCAAATACTGTGTGTGACTCAAACTCTGATCAAAGGAATTTAATTTGGAAACTGACAAATGTGCTCTGCATGGAACTCCTGTAGGAAAGCAAAGAAGTTCTGTAATGCCTGTAGTACCCTGTTCTTTTCGAGTTGTTGTGTGTGTGCACGTGTGTGTGGACAGGATATTCTTCCAACACAGTACAGATGCTGTCAGAAGTTAGGGACTGAAATCAGCCATTAATTTTGGGGCAGGACCGGGCGGCAGACTCTCGTTACAATGCTGAAATGGTATTTCTGTTTCTTGGGTTGTACACACAGAGCAGACTGCAAGGAGCCTGCTTGGCCAGGTCCAGGAGGTATTGAGTGTCTGATGTACACTGCACAGTGTACAGTGAGAGGTCTTTGGACTCAAAGGAAGATCAAAGACATGTAAAGAAATGGTACTCCTGGGCATGAGGCATCATCTGTTGGGGTTCAGACCAAGAAATATTTGGCTCATGGGTTGTGGCAATATTGGGTATTATGTGTAAAATCCATTTTTTCTGCAACAGGGACACAACACAGCACAGTCCTCCTTGGACATTGCCTCTATCTTTAAGACAGAAGCTGGTGAGAGGTGAGTCCAGAGAAAAGTGAAAACTACTTTACAATTCTGTCGGAATTGCTGCTGATGTGAAGGAGCGTATCCACTATGGTGCAATGCCCAAATAATCCAAGTTCAGGGAGACACTGACCACGTTCCGCGTTTCTGCAAAGCTCCTTGGCTTTCCTGGAGCGCTGGGGAGACAGCACAGAGACAACATCCAAGGTGATGGCCCAGAGCTGGGCACTCTTCTGCTCTGGGTACAGCCATTTCCTCCTTGTCACACGCACATAAAGCTCAAGTCCACCAAGCGGCCAACACTGTGCAGAAAGCAACTGAAGTTAAACTGCAAGGCTAAAGGTCCAGGAGAATGCTGGATATCTGGCTTCATGGGAGGCACAAAGCTTCTCCCAGCAGTGCTGGTATATCCTGCCTGGGCTTCCTGAAGCATGATGCTCCAGCTCTCTGCACAGACTGAGAAGTCTCTACTTCTGATGCCGCATCTCCTCCTCCTGCCATTACGGGAAAGGGCAGAGAGGTGCAGTATTCTTTAAAGTACGATATTATGCTATAACTGACATGTGTCCTCATCTCCACTTCCAACACAACAGAAATAGCTCTGATTGAAAAGGCCACAGTGACGGATCATAAAGGAGTCAGCACAGGCAAAATGTCACAGATCTTGAAATAGATACCCTTTCCAGTGCTGGACAGTTTAATTCCACGGTACTGAGCTTTTAAGGCCAAAAGCATGTGGCTAGAGGAAGCGAGGAGAGGTCACACTTTAGGTTGGAAGAGAGTTATGCAACTGCAAGCCAACCACGAATCTCCAGGACATTTCTATCCCGGCAACATCATGCAGGACAAAAGCCTCCCATCAGTGGCGTCCAGACAGATTCATTCTCCAGGCATTAAAAGCTGGACTGTAGAAATCAGCTGCAGGAAAGACTACAAAGCCTCAAGCACAAAAATATCTGTTTTTCATGTTCACCTGCAGCTGTTACAGAATGTCAACACTGGCATGAATAATACAGGGCAACACTCAAGAAACCCACCATACTGCCTTACTGGCAAGATTGAGGGACTCCAATCACAGATGAAGATCAACATAATTCTGGTAAAAACAAAACAAAACCAACAAAACAAAGAACAACAACAACAAAGTCAGAAGGCGTAAAGCAACTGTGAGTGCCCACTTCTGAAAAACATAAAGTTTGGTTTCTCCGTGTCCTTTTGAAAAGCATTGAGGTAACCACATCGGAGCAGAGCAGTCCTTCCGGGTTTGCAAGAGCAGCCTGAGCTCCTCACAAAACACACAGATGGATATAAAAGGCCAAGCACTTCTTAGGACCACAGATTTGTCTGCAAGTATCTTAGCTAATTCAACACAACTTCCCAAGGAATTTTTTTTTTGGAACCAGGAATCTAATTCAGGACCTTAAGCTTGCAAGGTGCCACGCAATGGCACCACTGAGCTAAATTCCCAGCCCAAGCAATTTCATAAGCAACCTCAAAGCTAGCTTGAGCTGCAGGAGTGGCAGACTGACGTTGGATACTTCTTTTTTCTTTCTTTACTCCTTTTGGTCAACCCAAACTTTCCTTCCAGTAGGAGTGAGGAGGAAGATGCTTGCCCCTAAACTCCTAAGAGTCCATGCCCATCCTCCGAAGGGGACTTGGGGGTAGAGTAATGGGAAGTTGCCCAAGATCCCACAGTTGGTCATTAGCAAGCCGGGATGGGAACCAGCTGCTGGCAGTGCCAGGACTCACTCTGCGAGTGCGGCAGGGTAACCACCTCTGCATGTCTGCTGTACAAGCGTTGAGGCACGGCAGAAGTGGGCAGAAAGGGTGTGCAGAGGGACTCGTCTGCAGCCATGCTGCAGTGACCCTTCTAAGGGGTGTCACTAGTTCATGAACTGCTTCTTCCAAATAAACATTTCCTCCGTGTAGTAGTCACCCCTTGATCTGGTTACAATTAAATTAGAATATTATGGTTCTTTAGCAGGCTGTGGATAGAATAATCTCCATAGATATTGCAGGTTAGGTCACTCAGGAAAAGTTGTCTCATTACTTCCCGACGCCGGCTTCCCCACGGTCCCCATACTTCCTGAAAGGCACCTCTGAGGATAGAGGTCCAGCACAGTGTTTTATAATGGCGTCCTCAAAGCTCATACACAACTGCATTAGAGAAGGAAGTTGCCACCAAGATCAAGTCGCGGGGATAGCATGGCCCAGTAAACCACAGACACACATGTACTGATGCGACAGATGCATCTATAAAGAAGCCTGAGCAGGATCGTAACAAAAACTACCAGCAAAGGATTACATATGTTTCTCGGTCTTATTTCAGGAGATGGCAACTGTGCCCAACTTAGTTCTAAAAGAATGTGGGCCTCAGTTTAGGAAAACTTGCTCAAAGGAAGCTGCCTTGTTTGGGGTAGGAGAAAGGCAAAACAGGGACACACAAAGAAGCTGTTCCGTGTCCCCTGCAGAGTCTGATGCAGGACTGTAACTATACTCCTCAGAAGTCACGGCTGTGGTACTTCTGTGAGCCTTACAAAGATGGAAATATCAAACAGGCTGGTGGAGGAAGGAGGCCTTGGGCTCTGGCTGATACAAAGTGAATGCACCATTTCACATACCCCAGAAAAATCAAAGTACCAGTCCTGAAGACCTTCACAAACAACACATTGCAAAGGTAATGGGCCACCTCTGGAGAGGGTCAGTTGGCGTACTGAGCGTAGAAAGCCACTTTAACTCTCTCAATCTGATGGCATAACTTGATGGCGGGTCCCAGCTTCAACTCCATGCACTCCTGCACGGTTGGAAGAGTCAGCAGTAGGAGGGCCTGGCCATCGATGTCCTGTCAGAAGATAAAAGCACATTAGAGAAGAGGCTCTGCGCACTGGGGAATGCCTTCACCATGCAGCCTTCAGCCTGGGACCATGAATGTGATGGGGCCGCCAGTTTGGGACAGTGTTGGCAGAGACACCAAACTCGGCTTGATGACTACCTAATCTTTGTGATAATGAAATCTTTTTGCCAAGAACATTTTGGCTACTCTGAAATTCACAGGCCTAGACTACCTTGGTAGGTACAAAGAGCTGGGCCAGGCGGGCTGCTTCAGGGTTTGTTTCCCCAGCTTACTGCCCCTTCCTGGGAGAGCAACCTCTCGCTGCCTGGCCAGGTCCTTTCTATGCTGTGAGCACTAGTACAGAATGCGGTACTAAAAGTCAAAGCTACCTGACTGTCCAGCCAACGCCTGGCATTTCACAACTGGGGGAGTGAGAAGGTGCTAAGTGAAGGCAGGTGTCAGCTACACAGCGCGCTTCACCATCGAGGAAAACACCACCCCAACACACACACTGCTGTGTCTCGCCTGCCTGGGCCACTCTGTTTGGAGATGGACACTCTGTGCTCCTATACACACACTGTATACAGACTCATCGTTTCTGGCTGAAGAAGCTATACAGGGACGACCCCATGGTGCCCAACTGGAACCAAAGCCAATGGAGTAAGCCAGACTGACTCCTGAAGCCACATCTCTGAGAGAAATTCGTACACAGAAACCCTACAAAACTGGCAGACAGCATGGATCCACAGACGCACAGATATGGATGCAGGGACTCAAGAAGTGTGAAAAAAGCAAAGTAAAATTATGTCTCCAGAGCAACACTAGAAATAGATCCCAAAGAGAAGGATATTCATAAGTTATTGAAAAAATGATTCTAAGGAAACTCAAAAAATGAGAGACACATGCAGATAATTCAATGGCATCAGGAAAACAATTCAGAATATAAACAAGAAAGGTAGCAAAGTGATACAAACCATGAAATAGAATCAAAAAGAAGAACTGAATCTGAGAGTCTTAGCAACACACAAGAGAAGCAGAAGAAGGAACTTCTGAATCTGAAGGCAACTGTTTTGAAATAACCCACTCAGAGCAAAAAGAGAAGGAGAAAAAAGAAAGAAAGCCTCAAAGCTCATGGGACTCCATTAAACAAAGAAACATTCAAAGAATGGGCATTCTAGAAGAGAAGAGAAAATAAACAGAAAAGTCTGTTCGAGAGAATAGCTGGAGACTTCCCAAATTTCAGTAGATATAGATATCCAGGTCCAGGGGGCTCAGGAGATCACAAAGAGCCATATTTAGGAATCTGCCAAAAAATCCAAGTCAAAACACTAATTCTAAAATCAGTGAGAGCACAGGGCCAAGTCACATCTAAGGGAGCCCTCTTTACACTAACCGCACATTTCTCAGCAAAACCCTACAGGTCGGGAAGGAATTAGACGACACGGTCAAAACTCTGAGAGAATGAAAAACCTTGCCCAAGCAAGTTTGCCAGAGCACACGTGACCAGTGAAGTTGTACTTCAGAAATGAAGGAGAAATAAAGAGCTCCCAAGACAGCTAGATAGAGGAAATTCAGCTTTAGTACACAAGACCTATGAAAGGTGCTTAAGGGAGTCCTAAATCCAGAGGCAAAATGAAGGTAGCTATCATCATCACACACACACACACACACACACACTCTCTCTCTCTCTCTCTCTCTCTCTCTCTCTCAATGTTCCTTTACATTTCCATGCATGCACTGCCCAGAGTAAAGAGTTAGTCCTTCTAGAGTATCTACCCCAAAGCCCTTGTCATACAGAAAGTCATTAAATGATTGTTAAATTGGATTTGCTACGGAAAGGAGATAAAGACTAATTCCAAAGCTCTATGAGTATTCGACTGGACTCCTCTGTCTCTCCATCAGCTTACTTCCTGTAATAAATTCATTTACTCATACGGATGTCATTTGATTGTGTTTTATTCCAGAGGTAATTAACAGTGGCTCAAACAGACTGCAGGACCAAGGTAAATGATAAAGATCAGTGATAGCATGACAGCATAAATTGAACTCTCCACACCACAGTTTCTGCCACTCTAAGATTTATAACTAGAGCTGCCGTAAGTCACAAGGACTAAACAGCCACACGACAGCACACGAGCACGTGTTTCAGACACCATTTATCAATGAATTTCACACAAGGAGCTCACTTCCTTCAACTAATGGGTTATTTGGCCATCTTAAAAATATCTAAAGCAAATGGTAGTCTTGTGAACACTGATGTCAAGAGTAAGCATGATTTATCACTTGATCGGGATCGAAGGGCTGATGCTGAGACAAAAATAATTTATTATCTGATTAGATTCAAAGGCCACAGTCTTCCCTAATAAACACAGCGCAATAAAAATTAAGTGTTTACTTAATGTTTGCGCAAAGGCACAAGCTCTTGCAATTCATTACTTTTAAATTACAGATGAGCACCAGCTATGTATGATGTATGGAACTAAAAGCTGTGTCTCAATAAAGACTCGTGTGACCTTATCAAAGAAGAAGATAAACAGATCAGTCAGAATCACTGCAACAGCATCCTGCAGGGAGAGCTCTGTCATCGAGCAAGGTGGAATTCACACACTAGGGCTTTCTGACCAAGGACCAAGGGAGGAAGCCTTTAAGGCAAGTCCTGGAATCCCCCCAAATCCTCCTCTTTCATATGTCTCTTCCATGGGAAGAAAGGAGGAAATGAAGGTTAATTCTCCTATCTGAATATAAGTGTATTTATCGGTATCCATTCGTGTACACAGGCTCAAAATAAAAATTTACACATAGATCTCCAGATAGAAACGTGAAGCTGGCCTCCTCACTTTCTGTCTTTCTTAAACCACTCTGGGGCTTTTGTCCACAGCTGGGCAGCCTCTGTAGTATAGACCCTGAGCATCATGACTTTAGAGATCACGGACTCCTTCTGAGAGAGCTAAAGTACTTATCCTGGAGATGCCACAGTACCTCGAATCACACATGAGGATATGTCAGTTTCCACTCCTGGAGAGTTTGGCTCACTTCAATAAAACTAATCCCTGAACACCAAGTACTTGCCTACTGAGATAAAGGCGCCGGATAACAAAAATCCTGTCGTTAATTGTATAGGAATGACCAGAGCGTCTGTCAAACTCTCAGCCCTTTCAAGGGTACACCATGACCATGAGGTGTCCAGGAGGCACAAAAGACACAAAAATATTTCCCGAATGGAAAGCTCACATAAAATATGTCTGAAATAAAGTTAGGCCTTGGCATTCAATGCTGTAACTGCCTATTTTCCAAACCTGGAAAGAGAACATAATCTTTTCCCCAGCATGTGGCATTTCTAGATACTCTAGGAGAAAGTCTCTGCGAGGCCTGACACCACTCAGGCCAGCCGAGCACCATGCCCCGGCTTCTGTGGTCGCCTTCCAACTTCCCAGCCACTGCTCCCTCTGGGAGCCTCAGCTCCATCCTCACTCCACGTTCAACGATCCACAAAGACCCCTGGCCTTTGCTTCTGTGGAGCTGAAGAGGGATTCCCAGGTCTGCTGCAACTAGCACCAACCTCCCCGGCTCAGGTCAGCACTGCTTCCTCCCCAGCCTCTCTATTTACAGCTCTCTTCTGCTCAGAACACTGCCTGTCCTCTCTCGAATCTGCCAGTGGTGCGTCTGTGTGTGGTCCCCAGTCCAGTGTAAGCATTTAGGGTCGGGGCTGTCTCACCCAGCCGTGTTTTCGGGTGCTACGCATAATTGGCCGCAAGGAAATCAACGGCTTCACGATTAGTAATCCTGTCTTGACTCAGAGGAGTTGATCACCAGAAGGTCTTTTCCTGCCGTTGTCCTCCCATGACCTGGCAAAATGCAAGCCCGTATGTGTGTTCTCAGGCGACGAACGGCAGATGGGGAGCAAGGATAGGAAAGCGAACCGGGAGATGTGGAAGAAGCATGGAAAGCAGCAACATTACAAGTGGGGGCATCAGGGCCTCCTCAGCTTTCCTACCACTGGGGCTCCCAGCACAGAGAACTTCATTACAAAGCACGGATTTAAGCCTTCAGTTTTGGGAACTGTGGATGAGAACTGTAAAACAGACCAGGCTCAGGGGCTCTGAGCATTTTCATGAAGGCAGAGGTATGGCCATCATAAGCCAAGTTATCAATCTGAAAACACGCTTTAACTGGAGAATTTAAAATTGTATTGTTTAAAGGGTGTTAAAAAGAAAGAAAGAAAGAAAAGCTAACAAGCAAATTCCATCTGACGGCTCTGCTCCACTGAATTTATTTTTCTTTTTAATCTACAAAGGTATGCAGTGAAAGAATAACTATCAAACTTAATTTGGGTTAAGTAAAATCACGTTAGCAAACACACTGTGAGAAATAACGAGCTAAACACTAGGTACCTGTGTGTGCATTCTTTAAACAAAGCAACTCAAACCCATCCCAGTTTTTGGTTATGACGTCTTCGAAAGAAAGCCCTTGATAAAAGAAAGAGAAAAGAATGCAAAACAGATTCCATAATAAGCTAGCATAAAAGATATTGGGGAGCTTCAATGTAACTCTTCGAAGAAAGGCTCTCTGTCCCTTACACTTCCTGCGTGGGGACAGGGCTCCTCCACCTGCTTGCCGTATGCCTCACGGGAGTGTAGGCAGCCTCTGAGGTCGTAGCCTAGGTGGAGTGGCAGAGAATGGAGGCAGAGACCACGATCACCAGGGGCCTCGAGGTGGCATCTCTGGCCTCAGACCGATGCCCTCCAGCCCGGGTCCCAGTACACGGCCGCACGTGCTGTCCTCACTTCTCCAAGAAGAAGAGAGCAGCAGTTGCTCAGCCCCGCTTCTTCCCGCCCCTTCGTATAGAGGGCTTCGGCTTTGTCACCGCGAGGGGAGAAGGAGCACAGTCCACATCCCTATGGACCAAATTCCAGGCACAGGCAGCATGGAGTGAGGCACATGAAGGCCACACCTCTGAATCTGAGAGCTGTGTCACCTATGTCCCCGCCCTGGCCCTGGTGCAGCTGGGT